GATGCATAGCAGACGAAGACCGTTGACCAAGGTCTCTTGCACGAACACTCAGTCGCTCTTCTCAGTGGTGATCGCCCTCGACGTCGCGGACTGATGAAGGCACCGGGCTCCCAGCCTTGCGCTGTTCCAGTACCACTCTGTTGGTCTTACTGATGTTCCGCTCGAGCATCATCTGATAGCCGCCCATTCCCATGATGATGGCCTCGATCGGGATCAGCAGGATGGACAGGTAGAGGCCCGCCTTGCTTTGCTTGCAGAGGGTGCCGAAATGCGGCCTCGTCATCATCACAACATCGGACCAGCGGCAGCTCCAGCTTTGTAGTGTGTCGACCGTGATCGACGCGTTGATGCTGTAGAAGAAGGACATGGCAATGATCGATGCCACCAACCCAACCGATGGGACGGCCACTGCCAATGAGTTGTGAATGAGAGTTTGAGCCCGCAGCTTTTTGATGTCAGTGTGGGCTGACTCCTCAGAGGTACGATGTCAAAAAGCAGATTTGACTTACACTTTGAACTCGACTGAAAAGGAGAGAGACGAGATTGACAATGATGAGAATAGAGCTCCCAACCACGAGTGCGACTGTTGGACGCAAGTCGAAGGCATCCGGCCACAGCGGAAGCATGAAGCCGGCTGGTACGTGGGTGGCATCGTAGACAGCTAGGGCATCTGCTGATGTACCAAGGATGGTGATGCTCATGAGAAGGGCCACAGCCGTCAGACTGACTCTTGCGGTATCCACTGTCTTGAGAAGACGTGCGTGAGAAGGGCAGTGAGCGTCATAAGAATCGACCTCGAAGTCCGAGGTTTGCGTGACGTTCTTCAGATCGGAAGACATGGCTGTAGAGAAAGTCGTGAAATATTGTCGTAAAATGAGGTGTAATTACAAGTGAAGAATGACCAAACGTAATGTCAGAAACGATCTCCAGGAAAGAAAACACGTAAGAAAAGAGAAAGCGGGCTGGGAGCTAGGTAGCTGTATGGTTTTCCAGTATCACAGACCTACGGAAGGGCGATCATGAAGCGTACATATACAGCCTCTCTATAGCCTGGATACGCGCCGTGTGCCGAGTCTAGACACGGCACGTAATCTTGAACACATATGGGGAAGAAAGGTGATGTCCAAATTTATCGTGACAAGCGTTGCGCCGATGCAAGATAGCCGCGCTTGCGACATCTCGGGGCTCTGAGAGAGGAGATCAGCGGACACCCCTGAACAGCCGGCGAGCTTTACATTGGTCAGAAGCCCGCAGATGCTGGTCCCATTGGCGGTCATCCCCAGCGCTTAAAATGGCGGGAGGGCCATGGAGGAGGCCAATGATGAGGTGCAGATAACCTCGTTTTGAAAATCGAAACAAGAACGATTATTCGCTGACCGGGATGTGACCACAATCGAGGTTGCTGCAAGTCAGTGATAATAGAATGAGATTTCGACGTTGGAGGTTCTTATTTGCCGCCGCTGTCGAAAGGAATCCGAGGACTAAGCTCACGTCAAGCGGGAAGAGTGGAGATGAAAAGCAATCCCGGCATCCTTGATCCAGGCCAGGCGACTTGCCTTAGGTAAGCTTCTTTTTGCTTTTCACCTGATGAGCGGGAAGAGCCGTGGAGGAAATGGGCTTATCACGTGATACTTTTCTCATTTGCTCATTGACAACTGGTTAGCAGCGTTACCAGCTGTGGAGCCAAGCACCCAAGTTAACCTTGCTCATTTCCGTAGTGATATGGCTTGCCATCCCATCCCACGCCGACGCCGACGAAAAAGAAACGCGCTCCTTCGTATCTGCAAAACCAATATACCACTTCGCCAGCTGGATTTCATAAAAAGCTGCCCAACTTGAGCGTCATACTGTGAAGCCCGCTGTAGTCTCTCTTCTTTGAGGCCTGACGACGCATACGGACACGGAACTTCAAACTTGCAGAGTACGGGCACGGAGATTGGACGAGACAACTGATGGTCACTGCGACGTTGTCCGACATGCTCGTTCCTGAAGGCTGGATTGCGATGAACTCTCCATGGCCACGAGTGTGTCTCATCTCTGAGCTGCGACATGCAGCACACTGCTCAGTCAATGGCGTTTCCACCTTCCGAGAGCGATGGCAATGATTCCACATCACCAGGGGCGTCTGGACGACAGGGTATCAGACCCCTCCACGAAAGGGTGAGCTAAGCAAGCAATTGTATCCGTACATACAACAAGAAGAAGAGCAGGCTTGCAGATGAGGCTGTACCAACCTTGCAGCCGGCTGCGGTGATCAAACTGATGTTGGGGCTGTCAAAACTCTGCAGCCTTCAACAAACCGGCCTGTAGGACTAGCAATAACGACTGCCTACAGCGGCCCCTTAGACACGGGTAGCGACCATTGTATGATCTGAGATAGCATTGGTCCGAACTCCCTGTCGGTTTGTCGCCTGCACACGAAGCTCTTTGCGGCTCCAGCCTCGTCCCAAGGTCTTTTACAGGTAGACATTTCTCTGGGCCCAGTCCGGCCTAGTTCTTGGCCTCCACTGCAAGAGACATTGGCGTCCGCCGGGTAGGGCCGACTGCTCCGCATGTCAACAATTGTCTGCACTAGCTGGCGGGCCATTAACGGACAAAGTAGCGGGCCAGCGGCCGAACCTAGCTGATGCCCCAGCTCGTCCAGGGTGTCAGAACAGTTTGGACAGACTAGCGAACCAGTCTTCAGTTGGCGAACGACGAACTTGGCAGACGTGACTGCACATCGGCAGGAAGCGAGAGTTTAGGTGCTTGGCCCTCAACGTCCACGGGGTGTGGAATGTCAAGCAAGCCATCGTCAGCGCATTAGCGAAAGCCAAAGGTCTCAAGGTTGACAACAACAGCACCACGGCTCCTCAGCTGGCTACTGCAAGTATTGGACCAGGACTCGGAGTTCGGCAGCCAGAGACTGTGGGGTGACGGTTCGCCCATCAAGTCGACTGCGAAGTGACAGGTCGAATCACGGACTCAAGTCTCACTGTGGCGCCACGGGGATTCACTGCGGCACGGCTCCCAAGTCCATCCCTCCGGGTTTGGGTGTCCCAGATGCTCGGGTTGACTCCTGTTGCACCATCAAGATGCATTGCAGGCGGTCAGTCAGTTGTTGATCCATGTACCGCATGGTAGACACGATATTCTTTCTGCCTCTTTGTGCGAATTACAGAGTATCATTGGGTTTTGACAGGCGACCTTGTCCTCCTTGCAGCAGGGTTTCTCTGAATGTCGTCCAATACAGCAACTTTAAAAGTCCGGACCAGGACGGGACTACGTACTCCGCTTCAGCTGAGATTGTCTATAGCCAAGCGAGGGATACGACGCTTGAGAACCACTCAAATTCAATGGTTCATCAGAAAGGCCCTGGTTCAACACACGGACACACAGACTCCAGCATAAGCAGACTGCAGCGACCACCGAGACATCCCCTGTCCAGACCCCTGACCCCTGGCTCAGCCCAACTGACTGGAACCAACCAGGCGCTCATCACCCGTCATTGCATTCTGATGATCTACAGACCAGCTTACGGCCGGGCCGGTCGAATTCCTTTCTTTCGACATCCGGGAGAACCAAACAGGCACACAAAATTCAGGAAAGCAGGTAACAGCGGACGGGAATCCTGACTGCCCACCCAGGTGCTTGTCAGGCCAGGCAAGCCCTCCTTGTCTATCCACAGGACCACAGCATATTCACATGTGCCTGATGGGTCCGGCCCATCACAATTCGCACCGCTTTGGCTTTCCCAGCAGCACTCCCGCAGATCTGCACCCCTTGGCCCGAATTCGAGACTCCCAAGGCTTCTACATTTCACCTGCATTACAGAGAACCTCTCACACTCTTCTCTCATGTTGAGATTAACGAATATTCCATCTTCAAGGGTACATCAAACGTCATTGGCTCGAATACGGCGGAATATCGTTATAATTACAAGAGTCCTGAAGCCATGGCTCAGTGCCGACACCTCTGCAGTTCTGTTGTACAGACGGATATTGACCATCCCTTGGATCGGCACCCCGCCCTCAAACTTCCCGACCACTTTGACAATTGACTACGGAGTACGGAGTACTCTGTCACCGGTGACACTCTAACCGGAAAGGGAGAAATGACCGTCAGAATCCTGCGAGCAGCGCGAACACCCCTGGTCGCCCCGACCCAAAGCCTCGGGTTCTGGGCCGCCACACTTTCTTCCCTGACACACATATGCAGTCTGGGGGGTGTGTTCGTCAAGTGGTCATGAATCACGAAAAATATGGTATGCACATAGCTTTCCCTCCTACCCCAGCGTTCTGTTGTGAGGAGAACCGGGGCTGGGTATTTGTCAAAGAAGTCTAATGATGTCTCGGGTCGCCTTGGACCTTGTGGGACGTAGCCTGGCAGGCATATCCTTCATCCTTTGTATCGTTTGCCCGGGATAGCGCTGGTACCCGCGGCGTCGTGGCCGATATAATAACCACTCACGCTTGCCACCCCTCCGACAACCTGTCATCGTGTCCCGCACTGGCCTAACAAACACATTCGTTCGTTTCTCGGCATCCATTTCCACACTGCGGGACTTCAACGTTGCAAACCCATTCTTCTAGTCTCGCGCCAGCCCTCGGTTTGTACAGATCATGTCAACCATCACGATAACCTCCGCTCCAAGAACGCGAACAACCGGCTGCCCCGCGCAAGCGATACCACCTCGAGCTCTCGATCAATTTGTACGTTTAGATCCGTCGATCTCCCGTGTACCCCATAGCCGCGCCCAGCCCCGTTGACCGAAGCCATCACAGCATCTCTTTCCAAGGCTGCCAGTAGAACTCCGGCTCAAGATCTGGAACCTCAACCTTCCACCACCTAGGGTTGTGCCCATCCGGTGCGGTGCCAAGTCTCTCTCCTTCGCCTCACACGCCCAGTCACCAAGGCCCTCGTCGAGCGGGTGTACCTCGTACACAGCCGTACCCACCAACCTCCACGCTTGCCATGAATCCCGCCTCGAGGCCCTCAAGTCGTACCATCTCAGCTTCGGCATGACGCGCAACCCGGGCCAAATCTTCTTTGACAAGGCCCACGATGTCCTCTACTTTGGCGCCCGTGACGGCTACATGGCCTCCGAGGCACAGTTCCGCACCGTCATGGCCCTCTGCGATCCCGAAGACATCTCACAAGTGCGCCGCCTCGCCATCAACGACTCGCTTTTCTGGGTCGACACAATGTACCAGTCCATGAGCGCCGCCAACCTAACGGTGGAGGTCCTCAAGCAGGTCCGCGCGCGTATGCCCAAGCTGGAAGAGCTGGTCTTCGTGCCGCGGGACGAAAATCCTGTCTACAACGACGAGGTCGAGTTGGTGCCTGCGAATCCGAACGGCTTGCTCAAGCAGCAGATGGCGAGGCAAATGGAGGCGGCGATGAAGGCCGTTTGCGACTTATTTCCGGACTGGACGCCGCCGCGGTGGTGTATTATGGCTCTCGGGTCGACGTAGCCTCCCCGGGATCACTTCAAATGATGAGGGTTTTACGGACCAGCGTATTCAAAACCCCCGGTTCTCTTCTTTACGGCAAGGCGTCAATAGCACGTCCGCCTTTTTCTACGGGCAGGGAGGTGGATCTGCCGCGAGCATGAACTTCAAGACTCTGTATTGGGCTGGTCAGACTGCATTTCAAGATACCCCTTTTGTCTTTTCTGTTATTTAAGCGTCGTGGAACACTAGCAATTGATGGCGAAGAAATCGTATCAGCTTTGTATTGATAGGGAGCATTTACGAGCCATGTGAATGAGGGTTGCCAACCGTGTCAAGCCGGAACAAGCGATTTGTTTTTAATTCTTTTATCACACAGAGAAAACTGACATGGGTTATCGCTCTACCCAAACCTCGCCATTGAAGGGAATAGATATTGAATCCATATTCTTGATCTCACTAGTTATTATCTTTTGGACGAGTGCTAGTTCGTCAGGGTACTGAACGACTACTCACTGGAGGCAGTGAAATGTACAAGAAACGCATGTGAATACCATACGACAATATGTTCAGCAAGACTTCCATCCCCTAACCCTTCCTCTCAAAATGTTTAACCCCCCTTTGCCATGCTAGCTAGTGTGATGTACATCGGATAAAACCTCGGACATTTTCAATGCCATCATGTTCAAATGTTGTGTGATGTGGGGGGGAAGGGGGCGACAACGACCTGGCTGTCCCGTACATCTGCTGAGACAAAGACGCAAGGAGTGGCGTGATGTTTGAATCGTTTGTCGAAAGTTGAGCCCGGATTAGGATAATGCTCGCCACCGCCTCGGTTGGTCCCGTAAGAGCCTACTAGGGCGGATTTTGGAATTTCCGAAGTCGTATCTTTGAAGGGTTATATGGAAAATGTCGTAACTCGCGTCTTGAGCTTCGATGGGTACTCGTTATAATTATTAAATGATGTCTGTTGGAGACAAACGCCACATGCGTAAGGTAGATCAAGTATGTAAGGCTGTTTATTCAACGAAGATCCATCTAGATACAATGACTACAATACCTTCATAAGATGGGCAAATTCGCTTTCAGGCACAAAGATCTTGGTCTCGTCCATCCACACCTTCGGTACGTGGTGTACCGAGAGAAGTATTCTACTGTGCAGAATAGTAGTATCTTCAGAGACTGCATCTTGTAGATCAACTACATGGGATTAGTTTAGAAGGACGCCGTTGGGAACTGCGGGTGTATCATGGAAATGACATAAGACCTTCCAAACAATGACGCGCATCTAGTTGAACCTGCGAGACAGGGAAGAACATTCTAAGCCTCAAATTTGGAGTTCATGGCGATGTTTTTGTGCCGAGCAGCGCAAGAATTCAAGCAATTACACTGCCAATTTCGACAGTTTCATCCCCGGATCTTCTTGAACTCGGGCATGAGATTTAGACGCTTTATTTACTGCGGTAGATCGTGGAAAGCATCAATGCCAGAAACAGCAGTTGAGGAGGTTGGTTTTCCGTACCTTGTAATAGCCAAAACGCTGGGCAGACGAATTCCTGTCTCCCAAGTGACCTTCCAAAAGAGAGCCATTGCCTGCAGGCTTTTGGGTAACGTATTGGGTTCTTCCGGCCTTTCAAAACAATTCAGCTAATACGTGGGCAGCACCTTGCTACCTCGAACACTCCGTCCTTGATCATCTGGACAGTGGTGTGGCGGAACAAACGGTGACAGAGGGAGACGCGGGAGGGAGGGAACCTTGGACAAAAGATTGTGCAGTGTACCGACCAAACAAATCGAGAAGGTCCATGTTCCCACGGAGCATCAGTCCTCCGAACCCATCAACACGCTCGAGCTGGGTCTTCGTTGTTACATCCGAATCGCAGCCCAGCACATTGCGCCAACTGGAGAGCCTCGAGAGGGTCGTGAAGAGGCTCTAAGGTACGCGCCCTGTAGTGAATGAGCACTAGCGTGGGAAGGAAAGAAGGCCTGCTTCCAAACCCAAGCACATTGACTACTCAAAGTAGACAACGCCAGATGAACTCTTGTCCATAAGTGAAACCAAATCTCAACTTCGCGGCAGGGTCTTTGGCCCCCGCAACAAGGTGCAAGAACCACCACACAATCCATTGATCTATCATCTGCTGGCATTGCACCGATCATTGGCTTGATCTTCGGAGAGGAGATGGAATCCCGGATGAGTGAGTATACCCTATTAACAGGAACTGAATTATGCCATGCGAACTACAAGTTACCAAAGTTCCAAGTTCCCATTTATGCATATATGTGTCTAAAGTATCCGTACAATCATTCACTATCACGAGATCACGCTCTATCTTATAAAATCGGTCCCCGGTCTTCTGCAGGGCTAATTCCCTCCTCATGTCCGTCATCCCTTAACAGACCCTGATGCTCGCCACCGCCGCCTTCTCTCGTGAGGCCGGTCTCGACACCCATACCTCTCGACAACCCACTCGTCCGCCGCGTCTCCTCTGCGCCGTTGAGGACGTACCACACGTCCTTCTTGGTCAAGAGACCCTGCAGAGCACCGCGGTCACTGAACAGGACATAGCGCAAGCCAAGCTTCTGAAAATAGCTGACGGCAAGATGCAGGTTAGATCTCGAAGCCATAGTGATGGGCGTCTGGTCCATCCACGGCCGAAGATCAAGAGTCGTACGGGGGTCCGCGAGGGGCTGGTGAGAGAAGAAGGCCTCTGTCTCTGGCGGAAGCGATCGCGGTGGCTGCGAACACATTTGCAAGTTGTAGGTGAGCTCTGCACGGGAGATGTATCCCAGCAGAATGGCTTCGCGGGGATCTGAAATAACAGGAAACCCTCGGTAGGTGTGCGTGTCGAGAATGTTCTTCAAGCTGCCAATAGTGTGGCCCGTCGCGGTGAGCACAACCAAGTCCTCGATGCGAGTCATGATTTGCGACGCAGGAATATCGGGGATGACCATCTCCTCGCTGTTATCTAGGAAGGGATACTCATTGAAGTGGATCCACGCTTCGTAAATTCCCTTCCGGGAGAACGCATCTCCCACCCATTTAGACAGCATGACGGCGATCATGATGGGGAGAACATAGGTCAGAGCTCCTGTCAGCTCGAACATGATGACAACAATTGAGACCGTCATTCGAGTGACGCCGGCAAGCGTCGCTGCCGCACCGATAATGGCATATGTTCCCGGTGTTACGCAAGGAACATCTGGTTCGCAGGAGGCAAATGCGAAGAACGTAGGGTGGTTTGTAACCCAAATCTCCATAACAATACCCACGGCTCTGCCGGTCAGGGCTCCGATAGCCATTGAAGGCAGAATAATGCCAGCAGGCAGCTGAAGGCCAAATGTGATGGTGGCGAGGAAGAAACCAAGGATAGCCCCAAATATGAGAAGAACAATCGTTGGTGCCGATGCAGCCCCAGTCTTACAGAGGCCGATTTGGTCGTCGACGTACTTGGAGCACTCGACGAACAAGTTGGAGACAAGCTCCGATGTCTGGAACTTCATGTAATGGTTGGGATAGTTGATGAGCGCCGTCAGAAGGGCAATCGCAGCGACTTGGGTAATGGGCCCCGGGAGCCACGGCGTGTTCTTCTTCCATCGTGCTACAGCCATGTTCGCTTTGATGAAGAGGCCACCGTAGATTCCCTGTCAGACTGTCAGTTGAGGTCATGGGCTAACGACGGTATGCACTTACACCAAGGATACCAAGGAAGACAAATGGAATCAGTTCAAAGCCGTGCCATCCCGTGCTGAATTTGACCTGGTACATGACAAGCTGCCCAGTGCGAAACGGATCAAATGCCTGCAGAACGACGGCAGCAGTCATGGCACAGACGAAACTCTGCCACATTGTCTTGTCCGGAAAGTAGTATGAGAGTTGCTAGTATGCGATTAGCATGGGACAGGGAGCAATCCCGGTCGTACCAACCTCTAGACTGAACAACACTCCTCCGATTGGCGAGCCAAAAGCCACCGAAATTCCAGAGGCAGCGGCAGCAGAGAGAACCTCCCTTTTTCGAGCTGTCGAGACATCAGTAAAGTACACGATTTTCCTTGCAGGCTTGGCTCACCCTCGTTGTCGTTGATATTCTTGAAGAGCTTGATAAAGAGATTGGCGCAACAACAAGCAACGTGGACTAGAGGTCCCTCTTTGCCTAGCCACATGCCCGAACCAACCGCAAGACACTGCATGAGTTAGTCGACATGGCACGAAAGAGAAGAGAGAACTTATAACTTACCAAACCTAACGACTTGGTGATCAAAGTCCAGCTGCCAAGAAACCTTCGGATGATGAAACCCCCCAACACCGTCTTGATCTCTGGTATTCCGCTGTGTTTGGCATACATTCCGTACTCCTGAACCAGAATAGCTGCGGCAGATGCCAAAATGACCTCCAAATCATCAGCAAAGAGGCGCGAGGTTGTGAGAGCGCGAGACTTACAGAGAGTACGAGAAAGAAGAAGTACTCTATGAACCATTTTCCACCGGCGGAAGAAACACCCAAAGCCTTCGCCCAGGGTGTCCAGCCGCCGCACTTTGACATCTCGTTGTAACCCCAGCAGCAGAAGTTCTTGTTCAGGTAGAATGCGCCTCCTTCTGGGCCGCTGGAGCAGTACCCTGTTTTCAGGTCGCCAAGCCAGTCGGTCGTAATATCGATGCCAGCAGCAACAGCGCCAACAGCCATACCAGTCAATATCAGGATGATCCAGACCTCACTGGCATCTACGAGCTGTTTGAACAGCCCAAGCAACCCTTGCGCCCCTGAGTGAAGGACGCGCAGACGCTGACGCTCCTTTGTGTATTCGAAAATCCAATCGATGGCCGTCAAATCCTCGTATCCCACTCTTCTTCCCGGCCCTTCCACGTACCAATCTAGTGGCGCGCCATCTTTGGTACCCTGGCTCGCAGCGCCATGTGCGCCTGCCCTCCGCGGTGATCGATTTGGATCGTGGGTAGGCGTTCGCGCTCGCGGCGAGGAGTGAGGGGAGGCAGTGCCTGATCGCGAACCGGTGAAGGCGGACAAGAGGCGGCTTGGAGCTGACAGAGCGTTCTGTTTCTGTTTTCGCTTAAAGGAGAAGGGTTCGTCGAGGTCCTCGTGGATTGGGTCCTCGATCAGGACATCGGCGACGTCTTCGTCTTCGCTCCAGAAGTCCAATTCGTCTCGATCGGCGGGGTCTGTATTGCTGTTGCTGTTGCCGGCGCCGCTGTTCAGCGGACGCGATGAGGACGAGGCGGACGAATCATAGTGTACAGGACCGGCCATGGTGCGAATCTGGCGACATTGACTCCCAGTATCCTCAGATCATAGCCATCCTGTTGTCGTTTCAAGGTTCTCTTCAACAGGACGGAAACGGTATCACCTCCCCGTCGCCGGATGGATACCTGTACGGTGACGAGCCGCGCGTGGCTGACTCGGTGTGGAAGCTCGGGCCTCTTTGCGGTCTGTCTTGCGGCTGATGCGACGCCGGGGCAAGTGGCCAAGGGGACCACCTGCAGGGGTCTTGTTGATGGAATGCATCTGACGGTGGGGGGTTTCCTTCAGTGATCTGGGTCTTTCAGCGCGGGGCAATTTTTCACGACGGCATCCTTTCGTCTGATCTTGGCATCTTGCTCATTTCTTGTGGGGTTGACAGCCTGCAATTATCGTACTCTTTCCCAACAGAGCAGCACGTTATTTTCAAGAGACTAGGTTGTAGCACGTGCCGTCTTCGGCTTTGATGCCTACCGGATTTCCAACCCTAGAACTCGGACACTCGACTTACACGCTGTCTTACCCGCCTTTGGCATTCGCAGAGCTTGTTGATCGCGTCAACGCAGGACTCCAGGAACATCAACGAACATAAGGAGACGTAAATATGGCAGACAAAGCTCCTGCAGAGTTCGCCGCGGCGCAGGCACCTCCTGGTGTCTCCCAGTCGACGTCGGGAACGCAGCAAACTGCATCGCTCGACCAAATCCAGAGTATGTTGAAGGCCAAAGATGATACCTCTAGATTCGTTGGCTTAGCTCTGTTGAAAAGTGTACTCGACAACTCGGAGGAGCTGCGCAACGATGCAGACACCGTGTCGGGTCTTTGGGGTTCCATATCCCCCAAGTTCCTGGACCGGCTGCTGAAGACAGGCTCATCTACACAATCTGGCCAGAAGGACGCAAAAAACATGCTGGATCTTTCAGTATCAGTTATCCATACTTTTGTTTTGCTTCTACCAGATCAAGCAAAAAGAGACAAACGCCTCGTTGGGAGAATGCCTCTTCTGGTGTCCAGTTTGCTACGAAGGTATGCCAATACACTACCTAGACAACTTTGGAACGTACACTTGCACTTACCATCAATGTAGCTCTGGAGAAACTTCTGTAATGATTATTCAGACTCTTCTCACCCTGTCCGCTTTTCCTGAAGGAGCAAAGATGTTCTTCGACATTGACGATGTAACTCCTCTCGTTGAGGTTGCCCCAAACAACCCATCTGCTCTCGAGATCTTTTCTTTTGCTTGGATCAACTGCATGGACATCGCAGAAGATAGACCCGTACTGAAGTCCAAGATATACAGAACCATTCAAGCCCTGGTGTCGACCTTCAACGGCACGGATGGCGTTACTTTGCTCGAATTTCTTGGCAAATTTCTGCGAAACTCGGATCCCAAGGTAGTCCCCCTTCTACGACAATACAGGCAGCTGACTTACACTTGAATAGTCCCTACCTTCAAACCCAAAGTGGATCAAATCCTCCACCGACTTCATCAAGAAACTTCTTACGAGCCGGCCCACGCCAGAGGCAAGGAACGCCTACACCGTTGCGGCTGCATCCTTGCTTGAGGTATACCCCTCGGAAGCATCAAAACTATTGTTCACCAGCGATGAAAAGGATGATAAACCGTTCTCGTACCTATTCATCACTCTCCTCCTCACCGATACCAGGGCCAGTCTTCCCCGCCTCTTGGAGCTTCTCAATGATCCCATCTACCCAGCCATCGCACAACGGTTGGGCTCGGCCTTTGATGTCACAACGCACTTCATTGGCTATCTAGTGAAGAGCCTCGACGATGAGAGTTCATCGCCAGCTGCCCTAGTGATGCCTCCCGACTTTCTGCTCAAGATCCGTCGGACGATTTCGGAGGCCCTATCTCTCGCCATCGAGTTCCTCCGAGACAGGTGGGATGCGTCCGTGGCAGGTGCTTTTGGTCTGCACCCCGAAGCGCGTGCAAAGGAGACCGACACCTCCATGGGGAAGAGGCTGACAATCTCTTGGGAGTCAAAGAAGAGCAACGTTCACGAGGACCCTCTAATACTGGCAGCTGTCAAAGCTCTCGCCATTTGGCTTCGCGAGGACGACAACGACCTGCTGAGAAAGGAAGCAGCAGGGCTGACGGACATGCTCCTCGACCTCTACAAGTCGAGCTCCCCGTCAAGTCTCGACTTCCGGTCACCAATCCTAGTAGGCCTGGAGGGAATCCTGGTCGAGAAGGCTGGGCTGGAAGAGTTCACGACACACAACGGCTGGGACGTCTTGACCAAAGACCTCGTCGCCGTTCTACAATCTACAACCACGTCAAGCGACGAAAGCGAAGCCGCGCGCGCCATTGAGATTGTCCGCATCCTTCTGCCGATCGTGGAGGGCGAGGAAACCGGCTCAAGGGAAGAGTGGATGGCTTTCGTGACGACCGTGGCCGCCTGGCACGCTCCCGAAGCCAAGCAGCCCGCGCTGGTACAGGAGGGTCACATCGCAGCTCTACAGCTCACCACTGCGTTGCTGGTGGGCGCGCCGTATGGTATGAGGCAGCGCTACGTACACTCTATCAGCGCCGTGCTGGGCATAGCCGGGCAGCTTGAGAAGCATGTGGGCTCCAATGACCCGCTGAGGGAGTCTTTGGATGATGTGCTGCAGACGCTAGATAGACTTCGCTAGTTTTCCAATTTCATAGACAACTAGCTCTTTCTTATCCGGCGAACCCAAGTGTCCCGACACACGTGGCGAGAGACTTATAATCATCCGACAAACGTTTGAATGATTCTCTGTTCAAGTGAGACTTAGAAAGCCTGGCCTTGAAGCTTCGAGGCTTAAGAATGAAGACATCAATCAGGCAAAGTACTCACTCTGATGCGTCTGTAAAACCAAAACACGAGCTTCTATTAATCACCCGGGTATGTGAAATATGGACCATACGGCATGCGTAGTGCCAGAATCTAATTCAGCTAAATATGATGGAACTCTAGATCAAGTTGACTGATAAAGTTAGGTGACCGACCTACGCACTAACTACCTCCTCGATTGTTGTAGGAGTGACCTTTAACTGAGTTACGTCTTTCGAGAGCACGTGGTTGAATGTAGGGAAAGAGAAATCACAGTTGAATATCGTTCTCCCCGAGCAAGGTGTTTAGCAGGTTCATGATTCACATGTTTTTCTGAAAGAGATCTGTTATGGTCTTCAGCCCAGAACCATATCTTCGCGAGGGACAATAAATTTGTAGAGTTCGTAGCAGTCCCGGCTCGAGAGGAAACTTCCTATCGATGAGCTCAGACTAATATCGAAACCTCCATCGAAAAAAGAAAAAAAAAAGGAATGCATCCCCTTCACATCGATTCAAATAGCAGCCACTGGAGCTTGCGTCTCCCTTCGAACAGCTTCCGCGCCCTCCTCTACATCGGCCCTCTTCAACGCCGCCGCAGCCTCAGCCTTGGCCCTCCTCTTCCTCGCCCGGCGGACCTCGATCTCGATATCCTTCATCTCGGCGTCCACCGAGACTAATCGGGGGATGGTTTCCTGCACGACCTGCACCGAGAGCGTTTGCGCCTGTCTCAAAGGCATCGGCGCGAGGATCCCGAACCATCGGAGAGGATCATTGCTCTTCTTCTTCGTCTTTTGCTTCGCCTTTTCCTTCTCTTTCTCCGTCTCCTCCTCCTCCTCCTCCTCCTTCTTGGCTTCTTTCTCCGTCTGCTGCCCATCGACAGAGGTCGCCGCTTCCGGCTCCGTGCCCGAGGCCTCATCGACATCATCATCATCATTCTTCGCCGCCGCGGCAGCCTCCGTGCTCTCCCTCTTCGGCTCCGTCACAGCATCACCCCCCTCCACAACCTTGACAACCTCAAAGCGGGGGACACCCCTGTCATCCACAGCCAGCTCGAGGGTCCTCGAAGCCCGCATGCGCTCGTCGTAGTAATCCGGCCCGTAACGGACACCCCTCTCCGCGGAGAAGTTGGCTCGTGCAATGTTCTGATACATGCCCGCCTGAGTCCCGCTGAGGTGCTCGCGCAAGGCTGTGTACTCGTCCAGCAGGACGAGGTAGCGCTCCAGGAGGCTGTCGATGTGGTTCGTCTCCATTGTCCTGTCTACCCTAGCGTATTTGTGTGAGTTGCGAGGTGTGTGGGATATGAGATGTGGCTGCGGGGGGGGGGGGGGGGGTTCAAGGTTGAGCAAAGGCGGGATGAGAGAGAGAGAGGCTGAAAGATGCAAGGGATCGGTTTGCTGTGGCTGAATTGTGCGGCTGAAGGGGCTCAAAGCATGTAGGTGAAGGACTGTCGTGGTGTCGCCGAGGTTGCCTTTGCAGCTGACTCTGAGCGATGAAGATGAGATGGTCCGGTAGGGCTATGCAGGAGGTTGATTGTTGGCTGTAGCCTCACATGCGTTGGAAATTTGTGGCTTGAGCGATGATCTGCGTAGAAGGAACGGCACTCTCATGCAGGGGTAGCCCTGAGCTACCTTAGGTACCTAGGGACTGCGAGACCCAAGTCTGTGGCAATGAGTACCTGTACTTTACTTGCGCCGTCTTTGGCGGATTTCCATGCCTGATATCATTAGCATCAAGTCACTCTACTTTGGGCTTGTCCGCCATGAGCCATCAGCCCAGCGACTTTTAATCAAAATAACTCCCCGTGCAAGTTCTTGACATGCGACGATCCCACAGTCAAGACATTCCAACGGGTAATGCCACCTGCCAAGACAACGCTTCCCAAAACAAGATAAGAGAGAAAACGGCTGAGCAAATAAGCGTGCAAGAAAATGTGATGTAAAATGTAACAGCAACGGTGACGTGAGAACACACGTACAAAGGGACTGAGGCGATGTCGAGGCTCGGCGGCAAACAAAGCGGGAACAAAGATGGATGGATGGAGGGCATGGGTTCAGTAATACGGATACATCTTTCCTTTGGTCCTTTGGGTCCTGTCATGCCCTGCCATGTACCTTACTGTCGGATGGCCGTCGGGTCGGTGGTTGTTTGTAATGCGTTCGTACCAATGCGACCTTTCTGGCATAGCTTCCTGTTTCAGCTTTCGACATTGATGGGTACGATTTGCTGTCGAATGCTGCCATGCGCCCAGCAGGGAAGGATGCCGTCTGAAAGGGAGACATGATTGTCAGGAATCAGGATAACTGATGGCCACACGGACCGACACTGCCATGGGGTCCAACTGTCTGTTGGGACCTATTTGAATTTCCCGTTGTCAGCGCCAATCCGTGGAGCACGAGCCGGGCATGGTCCTTTTATGTCGGTGATCCCGGTGATCGATCACGCGGAACCCTGAGCGATGGATGCAGGTGGAACTGAGTAGGATGGTCGGGAAAACAGGCATTCGGAGTGCTTGGTTTTTGTTCAGAAGCCCAGAATGATGATGAGACTTGGATGAAGACCAGGAGGAATAATCGAGAACAGCCCGTACAACGCAATGCAAAACGGAAAGCAAACCGGGCCATCGCGATAGACGGGAGCGACGAATGGATCGAAGCATTAAAGAAGTCTGCGGGTTCCCGTCTAGCTTATTCCCTGTACGCGAGAGACTGCCTCAAACGCGTGTCGTCCATAAGACTTGGAAGGCATCGTCCAACCCCAGAGCTACTTCGCGGGCCTGACAGTGTTTCGATGCCCACTTTGACAGCGCGAAGCGAGGGTAGCATCCGGGACGGCAAACTGCAGATGAAAGACTTGCATAGGGGTTGGAGTCGAATTGACACTGTACGCCACGAGCGAGCGACGCGATGGCGGCGTGTCAGTGTCAAACGTCGAGGTTCAAGACCTTGTGGTCGAGCTGAAGATATAGAAGGGACAGCCCGCTAGATTTCTGGGTTAATGAGCCACGCATGGAGTCAGTCCGCGCTTCCAAGTATCATTCAGCCTAGGTAGTTCTCGGGTTTTTGCGGCGACAGGTAATGCCCGACAGCGTAAGTATCACGCCTGTCTTACTCGGATGGCATTGACGAACATGCTTCGATGTGAACCGTAAGGCGAAGTCGACAAGTCGAGATCCAATGGCACATTATTCTGGGTCTGCGTTGCTTTTGATGGAGGTGCGGATCCGCCCGAGAAGACCATCTCAGGTCCAGGTCGATCATTAATTAGTGTCGGTCTGAGACGGTGGGGCCCAGTAGCTTAGATCCCGCAGTGCATTGCAGCATTGACGAAGAGCAGCAATGTATGGTCTGGATCCGGTGCCCCTTCCCATCTCGATAAATGGCCGCTGCAGGCCGCGAGTGGCGGGAGGTCGCCGACGTTGGTGGTTGAACTTACGATTCCCATGCTGATATGAGGAGGCGTCACTACGGATCGGTTCTAGGGAGGGGATAGAGGCATGGGATGATTACGTGAAGAAAAATAGATTAGGCAAAGTTTGGTGAAAACTCTGCTGGACAAACCTGGGCTGGGCTGAGTTGTTGATGACATGAGGGCATTCCTTTCTTTTTCATGCGTTAAGGAAACCTAAGGTAGGTACGTTATCTACGGAGTACGGTTAAGGTGGCGGGCTATTATCGTCTGATTTTGCTCTGGTGAAAGAGCGGTTCTGCAAAGTGGCAAGAGCACAACACTGACAGAAAGGGTCACATTCCACCTCGTTCCGCTGCGAAAGAGTTAGGTTGGACGAGAATGGTCCCTCGATGGTAGGTGCGAGGGAGACATTTGAGCCGTTGGCAGACGGCACTTGGCGAGATGTGCGTTGGGAAGCGTACCTATTGGAAAGGGCCAATGCGATATGCGGGTTTGCTGGCGTGATGCCAGGACCGTGATGCACACACAGTGCCTACCTACTTTAAGGTATGCTCTTGCCTTGTTGGTGCAGGAGTACTCTAAAGGTGTGCTTCTTGGGACTTGCTGCAGAAGCTTGGATGATGGACCGAGTAGGAATTTAACAATGATGTCTTCTGCCTGCCATGTAGACGTTCATCCAAGGAGACAAATTCAGGTAAGCGTCCCTACGCGGATTAAAAGTGCAAGGTAAGGTAAGGTACCTGAGGAACACAGGCAGGTGGTTGCCTCTACCTCTGCACTTGCACCTTCCTCCTCGCGCTTACCAGGTACGTAGTCACGTATACTTTAGTCGATGTGAAAGCACATGCATTCTTAACATGAGAATGGTGGGGGACGGGATTCTAAAGCCTCAGGCCCAAAGTCACTCTGCCCAATGTGCGCAGAGGTGACGAGGGTTCCTCAAGGTAATACGGATACCTTCCTCACCTCACCTGGAGGACTGTCGAGACTCGACACTTCGGGTACAATAGACGCAACACCACTTGGCACCCCAAGCACAAACAGCTTCTGCTGACAACTGGCACCGCTTCGCCCTCCAACACCTTGTGGCTTTGGTCCCCACGTCCCTTGCTGCCAGTAGCAGTCGCAAGCTGCAACGCCAGTGCTGCTGGAGTCGAAGCCGGTCCAAAGATCTACTCAGCTCAACCCGACCAGCGGATGCCGTTCTTTCAAAGACGGGGGACGATCCACTCTTTACGGGTTAAAAAAGTGGTCGGTGAGGGCGGTGAAGGATCAAGACGACAACGAGGAGAAGCAAGCTACGAATGCCCCGCGCCCCCAACCCAGAGCCAGACGGAACCATCAAGCCGAGAGTTCCAAGACTTTTGTCCAACTCATCACCACCGTGGCCGCGCGCCTACCTTACCACCTTACCTAGGTCTGCTTGGGTCGGTTTGCTGGCAGTTGCTGGAGAGCGTTGGGCCAGTTTCTTGGTGCGGAGGGGTGGGCAGAACTACGCTGTACCGGGCAACATCGGCAATGGCACCAACAAACGCACCTCTCGGTATCAAAGACAAGCGCCTGAGGGGTTGGCTTGGTGCCTCCTTCTCCTTGACACGAAATAGACGGCAAAAGGGTGGCTGCTTGCACTCCCATCCGTATACCGCATCTCATTCCCTTCTGATATTAGCGGAAAGCACAGGAGGGAGGAACCGCCCTTGAGACTGAGATGAGCAGACCGGGGCATGGCACCGACGCTGGCTACGTAACCCCTGGACGTTGAGGTGAGCGTCGAACAAATTAAAGGAAATGGAAGCCGGCGAGGTGGAAGATTGGTGAAGATGGCCCCGCTCACCCACGACCAGGCTATTCGTTCCAGAATCCAGCAGCGGCATCAACCCACATCTGTGGCCTGCCCTGGGTTATTCGATACCTTGGAGCCTACGGAATACGGAGTACCTATATACCTTACGGGCTACGTACGGTCCACGGATGCACTCTTGCTTTCCGCACAATCCAAGGTCCAAGGGAACATGGCTGGACATTCTCGACCTTCCGGGTTAGGCCATGTCCTCCAGCTAGCACTGCACCAGGCTATCTCAAGCACCCCAACGCCAACCGATCAGGCGCCATCCATCCCTCTGGAACACTGACCAGTACGACCCCTTCCAACCCCAATCATTGCAAAGACCAGCGTTGCAAACACCAAATTAATACGCTGATGTTGATGCGGGAGCAGGAGGAAGAGGAGGCGGCGGTTATGGACTTGTGGTGGTAAACAGACCGGAGACCTGGAGGGACCCTCCTGACACGGGCACTCTCCAATTTCTACCCGCCCCCAGCCTGGCTCACCCTCCCGTCCAGGCTCAGGGCACGAGGTACGAGGCACTTGGTCCAGCAACAAGTCACTTTGATTAGGAAAAAGATGAGACGGAAGACTTTGGAGTTGCTTTGCTTTTCCACTGCCCATTGATTAGAGACGAGGGGTCCCCCTTTCTCTCTCTCTCTCTCTCTCTCTCCTTTTCATGGCCCTGTCACTCATTGGGGGCTTGCTGCCCTCGTGAGGCATTCCGAATTGCCTTGGACAGTGATTATTTTGTGAGGATGGTTCTCTACCAGGTATCTGTAAAGCACCTTGGGGTCTACGTCTATGCTGAGAATCTGGGAAATCTACTAACAAAGCAGACAGGAAGGGACGGTTCTTGTATATGCTGCAGCTGGATCCCTTTGCACTTCCAGTTGCCCTGTGCTGGCTGGCTGTACTTTTTGCCCAAGTTCTTGCTGTCAACTGCCATAGATGATGGACGTCTTTGTTCGTCCTTCCATTCATTAAGCCTAAAGGAGACGGTACTTTAGATTAGCT